TGTTAAAGAAGCGCAAAATTTATTTAGTTCAATGCTACAGAAAAGGTGATAATAGTTATAGGAAATTGTGATACTTTAACAAACGAGGATATGTGCTCCCTTTGTGCTAGTTTATAATTTTTGTAGTAAATTTTGATCAAACTAGAAAATAATTAGTACTGCCCTATAACTTAGACATTTTTTCTTTTGATATCCACATTGTGTAGGCCGTTTAATGACAATTAAATGTTATCTCTTCATATTTTGTCGAATTCGGCCTCCTTGATGAGATAAACGCAATTAATCACAATTAATAAAAATAAAATTAATAAATTATACATTTTACCTAATTTATTATTAAATGTGATTACTATTAGTTATTATTACTATTAGTCCAACTTACAGAAATTTCAAATAAAAAAATAAAGATAATTACAAAAAACCTAATTTTAAAAAGTTTTAACATCCTGTAACTCTAAAACTATGCATTTCCATACCCATATTTATAAGAACTTTTTTTCATATTTTATGATGAATATAATAATAATGAGTACTTATTTAAAACTTTCGCAAGTTAATGATATTAATTTTTTTTACAGGCTATTAGACTTGAATCAAGGCAAATTAATAAAAATGCGTTTATCTCATCAAGGAGGCCGAAATCCACAAAATATCAAGGGACAACTTTTAATCGGTATTAGACTATTTCGCTAAAAAGAGAAAAAAAATTCACAGTCCTTTACAAAGATGCAATCGGGGGGGCATTGAAAATGATGAATAAAAATGTAAAAATATGATTATTGTTAATATGAGTGTATTACATACATATGTTTAAATAACGAACTTAACAAAAAACAACAGATTTAAAGATTCACTGAAAAAGTAGTAGTGTTAACATTAAATAAAACATTATCAATAATAATTATGCGATCGCACCTATCCGTAAAATAAGCAAGCAAAAAAACCTCGAAAAAAAACAAAACAACATACAAAACATCAGGTTAACATGATGACAGATCATGATCAATGACAGATAAAGAATTCTTATGGAAAGTTACACTTTACGATATAATTTTTTAACTGTTAAAGGCAAACCCCATTTAAACACAAAACTTTTTAATACCTACTACTGTATCTAAAAGACTTTTTTTTAAATTACTAAATTCATAGCCACGCTTCTGTTTTTCTTGGCTGTTGTGCGTCACGTCACAGATTAACAGGCCCACGTTTGCACCACAAGGCGATGCTGCAGACCACTAGGTAGACCGGTAAATTTATGTGTATACAACTTGTAGTCAATCTACACAAATATTAATAAAAACTTTTTTTCTTTTAAAATGTGTTCAGATTTTGTAAGAAGTATAAGTCAAAATCGCAAAACTTAAATTTGATATGAGTTTCTTAGTTTTTAACTAATATAGTGGCGAATTACAAAAATTTCTTTTCAACGAAAATGAGTTAAATAAAATAATTTAATAAATTACTAGCTTTTTCTCGCGACTACGTTCGCGTTACACCTCGAATCGTTCATGCATTGATTTAAATGATTCTTTATAGAGAGCTAGTGAGCATAGATGTTTTTTATTTTTCATCTTTTTTTTATTTATTAAGAGCACTAATACTCTCTTTATAGGTTATTTTTTATTCTTTGAAGGATAATTGAGGAAGATATATTTCGTTATGATGTCACTAAATAAACCCTTGTATAAAATTTTATACTGTCTGGTTTATAATGTTATAGTATTGCATTTTCGTACAGCAAACTTTCATTCCCTGTTCTACTCCCTAAGGGTATAAATTTCATAAATTCGCTTTACCTTTGTGCCAATTTTTATGTGTATAATCCAGAGGTCATCAAGTTTTATATAAATTTTTACTAACTTTACCCATTTGGTTGATGAATTTCAAAAATTTCTTCTAATTCTTTTTGTAGGATTTCATTCTTCTAGACCAAATAGTAAGGAATTTTCATACAACAAACTGTTCCGAGATAATTTTACTCTCTAAGAGGATGAATTTCCTAAAATCGCTTTGTGTTTTTTTGTGTTTTTTTTTTGTTGTTTGTTTTCAAAGATCATTTTTGAGGTTAATGTCATATGAAACTTTTCGTAATTAGGCAACTGGTAAATGACGTGTGACGATAAATTAATAAAATAATAATGAACGTATTAAGTTAAATATTTATATATTAATTTGACATATCTATTTCATGTTTATAAATTACATAATTTTTAATTTGGTATACCTTTAATTTTATATATTCATAATGAAATGAAATATATTTGGATATAACGTTTGGCAACCACGCAACTGAAGTGCAGGCGACATCTGTGCAAGAGAAGCAAAACCTCCCAACAAAGTTAGAAAATAAATCTAAAAATTTCAGATTATTCAAATGTCACTCCTCTGTGTCACTCCAATATTTTTCCAAATTGGAGTGAAATTAGGGTGACAATTTTTAACACGTAAGGAGCCATCTGGATTATGTGTTATCTGTGGTGTAAGTTATCATCCGGGTGTTGCCGGCAACACCCGGATGTATTAAGAGCTGAACCATGTGCACATATAAACCGTGCACTTGCAGCTCGCGTTATAAATTATCTGAGTTCGAGTTTTCTGATTTGACGTACTACAAAAATAACGTTAGCATGCAATATTTATTTTTTAAAAGCATCTAAACTGCACGGTATCATAGCGGTGTGGATGACGTATAAACCATTGGAAATTTTAGCGCTGTTATCAGAGGGTATTTATTACTACGTTATGAGCGGCGGAACTAAGTAATGCCTAGTATATATTAATATATAGTAATAGCTATAGCTTTCCCACGAAAGCAACTGTAACTCCGTTGGTAAGGCCGTCGCGGTGGCTTCGGGATCGAAAGGTCAGAGGATCGATCCCCGACAAATATAGAACTTTTATATTTTTTACAGCTGTTTTTATTTTTTTATTTTTTTTACAGCTGTCGGTATTAGCAATCAAAATACGCTGTAGGCGTGTTTTGATTGCTTTGGTTAGTCTCCAGGGTAAGTTTTTTTAGATTGCACGCAAAATACCCGACCGGTTATCGTTTATACGTATACGCAACTGCGGGTTATAAAGTTTCAAGGTCCGGCAAGGTACAAGAATTAATATAAAATCGTTTTTTTTTCATAAATACCGTAATCTTCATGTCTTTTTTTTTCTTAAAGTAATGGTGAAATGGGTGAAAACAGGCAACGATGCAAGTAGTGATACCGTTCCGGTTAGACGCTAGTTATTTTTTATGACAATAAATTTTAGTAGACGGGTTTTTAGTTTATTAATATAATAAGATCCGTTAATTTGCAGCCTTAGATTCACGATTTGATAGTCGAAAAAGAGCTATTTTGGGGCATTGTCGTGTTACAATTTGTTTTTCTAAGCTTATTATGCACTTATGCAATGCTTATAATCAGAGCTTAAGTCTTAAGACATTTCTAAAATCAAGATGATTTAAATCTTAATTCAATTTCGACATAAATTTAAATTTTAAGCCTTTGTCTTAAATAATTTTCTATCAAGTCAAGCCATAATCGTAAACACTTAAATCAATATAATGAAATTTAAGTCGCTTAATATAGACTTAAGTCATACTTAAGTCGATGTCTTTGATTTAAATCATGATCATCTGCAAGTTAAGTCGGCAAAATTGCTTAAATCGAAATAATTACATTTAAATCAAGACAGCCTAAATTCAATTTAAGTAGGTACCTACCTATTTTTAATATTAATATGAATTTTCTTGTATTACCGATTAATGATCTCTTTATTACCTATATTATTAATTTATTGTAGTTACAAATGCGACTAAAACCAATAAAATAAAACGGCTAACTTAATAACTAAATAACTACAAACACAAATATAATGTTTGTTATAAAATTTAACCGATTTTTTGGTACTTTATACGTCTCCATTACAGTTTAGATGTCATCAAATTAGTGGAGTGCTTTAAGCCCTTATGGGATACAAATAGGCCAGTGCAAATAATTTTGAATTTGCAAACATTTTTAGGAAGCTGCGACCATTGAAAATAGTTAGCATTGGTAACCCTTATTAACATACTAAAAGTCCCCATTTGTCCGGTGTGTGCGTCATCAAAAAAAATCGGCCGCCATCTTGAATTTTGGTACTTTTTGGGAAAAAATGTTAATAACTCGAAAACCGTGCGTTATAGCGAAAAACTCCAAGAGATAAAAATTAAAGGAAATAAAAAACTCTATCAGAATCAATAAAAATGGTTTATTATCCTAACGCAGTGACGTACAAAAATTTTTTTGAAAATCGAGCAATTTTAAAAGGAATCACCGAAATGCAAATTACTAAATTTTTAAGCTTATTACCAAATAACATGGATATTTAGCATCAATTCGACTAAAATAAAATTCTTGTGACATTTTCAAGAAATATTTATTGGTGGTTTAATAATATTTCAAAATTAACAAAAATTGTAAAAGCTATTCTTTACTAAATACATGATGTGTACTAATAATGTACGAAAGCAGCCTACACCTTGTCCCGGTCGGGGCTATTTGCACTTAAACCAAGGTCTCTTTGTTACCATTTTGTAAATAACTTGTTTTAAAAATACATACAGTGACAGTTTGAAAAATTAGGCTACAGGTTGGAAGAAAAAAATAAAATGTAAGTACTTGCGAATGTCTTTTTGACATAAATCTCATCTACGATCTTAACACTTTTCATTATGATAAATACATTATAAACATACCCCTACAAATTGAATAACAATAATTCAAATTATGACCATTTTAATAAAAATGTGTTACCAACTTGTAACCTAACTTTTCAAACTGTCATCTCTAGAAAAAAAACGAAGTTTACAATTTTATTCGACTTGTTCTTCATCGACCGAGATTTGTTTGTTGTCGCAAGAAATACCATTACAGTTACCACACAAGCTTGAACAGGGCATATTGGATTTTAAACATATACATAGTTTATTACATCCAGATTTGCAATTACAGTAAATCATTTTCAATACAAATTCTGGTGCCACTGCGTTTGACGTTGTTTTTGGAACTAAGGTATCCGTTTTTCAGTCCATCCCCATTCTTTTGCCTTTTCCGTTATTTAGCCAATACTGCATTTGTAAATGATATATAATAATGATTTTCAGCTGCGTTAGTTGTTGGAGGTGTAGCTAAATCAAAATTTTTACTAAGTACCTGACGAGATGTAAGGGTTTTATATTTATAATACCTCAACTGATCTAAATCTTTGCTAGCCTATGTCGACCATATAATAAAAATAAGAATGTATTTCCACTAGCTTCGACTAGCTCAGATTTTTGTGCTGCAGGATCTAAAAAATGGATGTAATTTGTCGCAGATGAGGATCTTTTGCAACGTTTTGAGAGTCGCCAGTTTACCTTTTTAAACAAGCACGAGGTTGTATCACATCCTCATATAGCATGTGCCAATAAGAGTGAACGCTTCATGTCACCAATCTTGTTCTGCATATTACCGATGTCAGTTACTCTGTGAGGCTTGGATTTTCCAGGCCGAAGCATAAAAATAGAATTTTTGTCCGATAATGCAGTAATAAAACTAACAAATCAGTATCTGTAGCCTAATTTTCAAACTGTCACTGTATTTTTTAAAACAAGTTGTTTATAAAACGGTAACAAAATATCTTGGTTTAAGTGCAAATAGCCCCGATCGGGACAAGGTGGAGGCATCTTTCGCACATTATTAGTACACATGTATTTTAAATAATTAATTAATTGTAATTTTTAAAAGGATACACTTTTACAATTTTTGTTAATTTTGAAATATTATTAAACCACCAATAAATATTTCTTGGAAATGTCACAAGGATTGTATTTTAGTTGAATTGATGCTAAATATCCATGTTATTTGTTAATAAGCTTAAAAAATTAGTAATTTGCATTTCGGTGATTCCTTTTAAAAATTGCTCGATTTTCAAAAAATTTTTGTACGTCACTGCGTTATGATAAACTGTTTTTATTGATTCTGGTAGAGTTTTTTATTCTCTTTAATTTTTACCTCTTGAAGTGTTTCGCTATAACGCACCGTTTTCGAGTTATTTACATATTTTCCCAAAAAGTACAAAAATTCAAGATGGCGGCCGATTTTTTTTGATGACGCACACACCGGACAAATGGGGACTTTTAGTATGTTAATAAGGGATACTAATGCTAACTATTTTCAATAGTCGCAGCTTTCTAAAAATTTTTGCAATTTCAATATAGTAAATTTCATAACTGCACTGGGGTAAAACCTCGGAATTCATTTACTGTGTACGATATTTTATAAAACTTTTTGCATTGCATTGTTAATAATATATATTACAAAGTTTACCTAATTAAATGCGTTGCTTTCACTTTAGTATTCTTTAGTATTTAAATAAACACACATATACATACATACATATATATATATATATATATATATATATATATATATATATATATATATATATATATATATATATATATATATATATATATATATATATATATATATATATATATATATATATATATATATATATATATATATATATATATATATATATATATATATATATATATATATATATATATATATATATATATATATAATTTATTTATCCGAGTTCAGTGAATTTGGCCATAGAGTATACTAAATGGTCTTTGAATTATGAGCACGTCCATGAGGACGTCAATCTAGACGTCCAGGAACCTTCGCATGAGAACTACTAATCTAGACGATCGACTCATTGTAAGTTTATCGCTAAGGAACCGCCGTTTGCCAGCTTTTCAAATTGATAATGAATTGCACTTAAGGACCGTACATATTAACTAACGAACTACAAGAAGAAGATTAAATGAAGCAAATCTTATCTCAAGAAGGCCTGCTTCGGGACCAGAACTTACTAGATGTGTTGACTAGGCCCAAAAGCAAAGGCATCGTCTTAATGTAAAAATTACGAAAAAATGTTATTGCCTTCTTTAAAACCGAATATTTCCAACAAAAATAAAGCTAATGAGATGAACCAAAAAACAAACCATCGAGAAAGGATGTATCTAGATGATAAAATAATTTTTAAATTTTTTGCCTTTTTAACATTTTTCACAGGGCGTTTCAAACTTTCACCAAAATATCAACATTTTGTTTTCCCTCGTATAATTAACAGATGGGGAGTTTAATTTTTAATTTAGAAAGAGATACTAAAAAGTCAAATAATTTGGCAACACACTGCTTAAAAAATCATCAAAATCGGCCCATTAAAATAAAATATATTAACCTTTAAAATACATCAAAGTTTTAAGGTGCCCATTTTTCGTACCGGTGAATGTATTTCAAAAACTATACATTTTAGTCATATACTTTTCTAATGAAACAAACCTTTATTTTTTTACTAGAATCTAAAAATCAATAAATATATAGGATGTTCCATTACAAAAAACATAACTTTGATGTGTAACTTTTTTGGGGACACCCTGTAGAACTCTACATAATTTTAGAAAGTGCTTTAAATTGACTTACATAAGCTCACAAAATTTCACTTCAATACAAACCGCGTTGTATATGACGCGCCACCCTGTATAATTCGATTTCAATCAAAATTTCAATGATTAGAATATAAACAGAATAGGTATAGCGTATGCATTAGATTTAGTTATTTCAATAAATTTACTTAGAAAAAGAATTAAAAGAAATAAAAATATTAAGAAGGAAATAATTAAGAGTTTACTAAAATAAAAAATTAAAAGCAACGAAAAAAATGGGTAAACATTTTAGTATTTTATTATATACGCATTATTTACTATAAAACGCAATACAGAAGGTTTCACATTAATACATTCACAGTAATTGAATTCCGGGGTAAAAGTCTCGGGGTACTTCACTAAATAATTGCCCATTAAACAGTGGTGATATGTTTTAATCACTAGGTAATTTATCAATGGCATAAGCTGGAGGATTTTAAGGTACTCTTCAATATACTCGAGATCAATATATTTCGTTCATCTTGTGGGGCTACATAACGGAGTCGGGGATTCACTTGATTAACTTGAAAAACAACAAAGTATGCATAATCAAAACTGGTTAAGAAAATGTAACTTTTTATTTGCTAGTAGTATTGAATGTACTTTTTTATCTGCTGACTAGCTGCTCCATAGCAGTTTGGAAAGAAATGCTGCTGTGAAAAACATATAAAAATATTTAAAAATTTAACTTTAACCTTTTTAATGGCTTAATTCTTTTTTTCTATTTCGGAATAAAGATCTCAATAACAAATAATTTAGAAAATTAGGTACTTAAATTTTAAATCTTAAGTCAACTTTCGAAAAGTGACTTAAAATCAAATGATTTAAATCATAAAAAAGATTTATAAAAAAAACGAGTTAAGTTTTCTGTGAGCTTGCAGCTCCCTGCTTATAATAACTAATAATCTCAAATAACTTTTCAGCTATTGAAGTTGGTAATACTAGATTTTATGATAATTGCTTCTAGCTGTTATCACAATAACTTATATCCAGGATCAGTAAGTAGACCAGTATTATCCAATTCAGAGGCCCAAAATTATATCGAATTGGAATATTTACAAGGTTGGTTACCAGAAAGTATTCATTTAAGCGAGCCTGATTATTCTGTTGGATATGGTGAACCTTACTCTTCAATACAAACTGCCATTAATGTTGCTCTTTCAGTAAGTATCTTAGATTAAGCTACGTTTCTACAGAAATGAATAATTACATCAATATTAAAAGAATATACTTATTACCATTATGTTTAATTTTTCTCCTAATCGGGTTTTGTATAAGGTTCTTGTGGTGTCGTCTGATAATGACACGATGTTATATTTTTCTACTATTACTTTTGGTTTTTTCATTTTACATGGATATTCCATCAGTATTTTGCATAATATCAGGTTATAATTAGTACCTAAGTTAGCTGAATTAAGGGCTCTGACATCTTCTTGTATCTGTGATGGATTGATAATTCTGTTTGTTGTTATAAAGTATATCAATGATCGATACCCTCTGGTGTTATTAAATGTATATTTGTGTTCTAAACTATTCCCGAAATGTTTTACGACATATTTCTAGAAATATTTCGTGAAACATTTTGCAAAACATTTCTGGAAATAGTACGATAAATATAAGCCCGTGTTATATAAATTAGTTTCCCACGTTTATTAAATTATTAAATTGGATTATTAAATTGGCTATTCCCCGAAGTTTACACAAGACTATTTAGTTTTAATCATTGTCTAATATTATTAATAATTACAATTAGTGATGGGGAAAACCGATTAATTTCAATAATCGAGTACTCGAGTTTCAAGCATTTACAATAATCGAGCGATCGCTCGAGCGTTAAATCGCTCGTTAATAATCGCTCGAGCGTTAAATCGTATTTAAAAATACGGTTTTTCGTCCGTCGCCATCGCTTGTTGTAAGTACTCGTTAACGCCAAGCGCGAAGAAGTAAGTTGCGTGCGCAGGGCACATATTCTTTCGGTGATGAATGGCAAGTATCAAGTGACGAGTAGTTCGCTTGATTCTATTCATTTCAGAGCATTGTCGATGTAGGTCGTAGAGTTTTGTCACTCAGATATGCAACGGATAACGTCGTATAAATTTACTACTTGCAATGTATGTAGAAAATTCGCTCGGCTTTTTATCAAGTATGTCACATTAAAATCGGATTTCAATTTATTTCATTCTAGGATCGCTTGCATTTGTCGCTCGTAACTCGTCACTTGCATCGCTCGTTCATAATCGAGCGATGTCGGTTATTTCAATAATCGATTACCCGAGCGAATTTTCGCTCGAGTTATCCCATAACTAATTATAATATACTAAAAAAAATAAAAGAGTGACTAACTAGCGGTCTACCATTTATCAGCTTATAATCGTGTATAATTTGTGTAAATATACACAAACATTTTTAATGACAAAAAAATATTAGGTTTCTAGTAGTATCCAAATGAATACAACTTAGTTGTAATCGTTTTATTGCAGGTATTTATAAATATATTTAGTGTTATAATTATTGATTTCACAACAAGATATATTTTATTTAATTCAAGTAATCGTTTTATACTTGGCAATAATGTGAGCTTAGAAAATGCCCCTTTAAAGAGTAGAACTATCTTTTTTCAAAAAATGTTTCTCTGTCCCACTGAGACCATAGATAAAGGAAATAAATTTAGATTGAAACGCCCGCCAAAATTTTGGGTTGCAAAATTGTTTTGGGTCGCGACCGTTATACGCGATCTGGCGCTGCTATAGCGGTTTCTAAGAACAACCGCAAACAAAAACAGTATATAATTTTCTCTTGTCCATATCTCTTGTCAAAGTCAGAATCTTCAAAAATTATAAAATCTTTCAAAATCTAAACCGCTTTCATTGAAAAAATTCCGAAAAGTGTTTAAAGCGTCCGTTTTCAAAGTAATTATTGCTATCTTGTAAGTTTAATTTAAGTTTTATTTACTCAAATCCGTGATAATTGTGAAAAAGTAGCATTAAAAACTTAAAAAGCTGTGCTGTGAACTGTGAACTACAAAAACCATCGTGGATCCTGGCATAACGTCGGTTTCCAATGTTTCATAGGTATTTCATACATGTCCTTATATAAAATAAAGTTTCTTGTATGCAACACACAAAATAATAATAAATTTGAGTAAATAATATTTGGCGATATAGTTTTGGGAAAAGCCGAACCTCTCCGAAATTATTCAAAGCTTTGGGTCGCGATCGTTGCAAGAATAGCGCGAAATAGTATTTACTTAGTAATTCCTTATTACTTTAATAGTATTTCCTTATGAGCACTTTCCCATCTAAACTTGTTTCATTTATCTATTTTATAGACCTCACATAGACACGTCTATTAAACCGTTGATGTAATGTCTAAATATTTTTAATTTGTACTGGCCACAAAAATATAAATCTTATTTTAAAATAATAAAAACATTGTGATTTAAGCGTTAGTTTAATTTATTTTTTTATGAATGAGATAATTTGTGGTTATTGTATTTTTTAAGGTTAATATTTCTAGAAGACAATATATTTATATTAAAAATGGTATATACCAAGAAACAGTTTATATTCCTGCATCCAGTATTCCTTTAACGATATATGGATGTTTGGACGATGCTGAAGCCGTTCAAATCAGATTTAACCAGAGTGCTGTGACAACTGGAATCGAATACGCTTCTACAGTAAATCCAAATGGAACAAAGTATAAAACTGGCGACCCTGCTTATTCAATGTATGAAGAGTGCGCTTTAAAATCTACCTTAGGTAATCTAAACTTACAGTATAATTTATAATAATGTCGCGACCTAGCTTGGGGGTGGTTTGCTTAGGCGTCGCTTGGGCGTTAGGATCGCTTATACCAGATTCTCTCTCTTAATCAAAACAACTATTAAGAAAAAATACATTTATTTATTAAGACTAAACAAAGTACAGAGTATGCTGAGAGGAGTACTTACAACAGCATATTCCTGAGCTGACGGGCTGACTTCCGTCTTCTACGACTACGACTACTGACGACTAACTGAACTCCAGCTAACTAACCATTGGACTGACTGCAACCAACTGACCTCCGCTCTCTTCAGCATACTCTTTTTATATTTCCTATCCCTCGTGATCATCGCCGGTTACGTCGTTCAATAGTTTTCCATCTAATTACATTCACCCGGCTATGATCATGAGGAAATAGAACTTCGGTAACCTGCGTTTGATTGTTGTATTTTACGACCCGAAATTGTTGTATTTTATTTGTTTAATGTTTAATGTTATTTAAAAGTATATCTGGGTCTACGTCATGTAGGTAACCGATCACTTGGGCCTAAATCAAATTGGTTTACTAGAATTATATTTTACATGATTTTTCCCAATTTGATATAAACCCAAGTTGACCTTTATTTAAGTCTTGACAATAATTATAATTCCGTTTTTTAAATAATAATGTTTTCTTCCTGGTAAAGAAATTTGCTAAAGTCAATGAGAAAGCCAAATGACTAAATATATTTATATTGAAATCATTTGATATCTTATGAAAAACTCATTATTATCTGTCAAACGGATCTAAAATAGCGGAAGGAACTCGAGCAAAAAAAATCAATATTGTCACGTTCAATAATAGGAAAACAAAATTGCTTGATATAAACTGAATATACTTTTAGTTCATTTCAGCACACATAATTATATACATCGTAAGTATCTTAAAGAATTTCTCATTGATCGATTTATATTTATCTAATTAACTGATTTGTTTCATTCTGCCTATTATAAATGGTCAATGTCTCCTAAAGATATCGTTTGTTTGGGACAAGCCGTTGTCATCATGGCAGCCAGAATTTAACCAACCTTATTGGTGGAAATGCTCGTCATTTTACCTAATTAAGTCCCTCCCTAGAAATACTACACTCACCGGCAAAAAAACCGGCCACTAAAAACTAGTCCCAATTTCAAAGTTGGATTTCTCGCGAACCACTCATTAGATTTTGATGATTTTTTTTTATAATTGTAAATGAATTCTTTCTTAACGGATGCTACGTCAGAAATGTATTTATTTTGAGCATATACAGCGCACAACAATAGGACGAAGTTTTTTGTCCGAAGTTTGTAACACCCTGTAGGGTGCAGCAGCTATATTAGCTATTGCTAAATCAAATGACATTGGAGCCTCATCTTTTCTGAGCAATTTGTTATTTAATAACGACATTATCTCTGTTTGTATTGGAGGATACGCTGCATTAAAACGAACGTCTAGGAAAAATGCTTCGCAGGCAAAACCGCGATTCATCCGTGAAAAGGACTTTAGTCCATTGCTCAATATCCCAATTCACATGTAAACGCGCAAACTGAAGACGTGCTCGACGATGTCTTGGAAGTAGATGGGGTCCTGTGGCAGGCCTTCTTGCAGACAAGCTGTTTTCTTTTAGTCTTGGTCGGATTGTTCTCTCACTGACTTGAGTTCTACGCTCGGCTTATAGCAGATTGATTCTGACAAGCTGTAATTCTACGATTTCGTAAAGTATTCAGGACAATAAAACGGTCGTCAGTTGCATTTGTTTTCCGTTTTCTTCTGGAACCCACTCGACTGGTGAAATTTTCCGTTTCCATATACCGATTCCAGGCATCCTGGACTGTTGTTCGAGGTATACCTACCCAAAGTATCGGACACATAACGTTGACTTCGGCCATCCTCAATTAAAGCACAATATACAGATAATGGCATTTTTTAATTTGACAACCGTTGCCTTGATTATTTATAGATAAAACTTTCTGCCTGCAAAGCATTTTTCCGAGACGTTCGTTTTAAAGCAGCGTATCTTCAATACAAACAGAGATAATATCATGACTAAAAAAAACTGCTCACAAAAGATGAGGCTACAATGTGATTTGATTTAGCAATAGCTTCGGGCAAAAAACTTTGTCTTGTTGTTGTGCCCTGCATATGCTCAAAATAAATTCGGAATAAAAATTTCTGGCGTAGCATCCCTTAAGAAGGAATTAATTTACAATTTAAAAAAAACTCATCAAAAGAGTGGTTCGCGAGAAATTCGAAATTGTGACTTTTTTTGCCGGTGAGTTTAGATATACCGTAGAATATTGACTAGTATTGAAAAATCATCATTATATTGTATTTTATGCCTTTAACGTGATTTTTGTCTATTGTAATAGTACACGCGTTTTAGCTAATATTATTGTATTTAGCAAGTCAGTAAACAAAATGTAGCTACATTTAGTGTAAAATAATGTATAAAGTTTATTGGAAAATTATATAAAAATTCAGTAGGTGATTAGGTTGAAACCCATGCATTCAAACTATACATACACTCACCGGAACGGGCAAACGGGCACCTTAAAATTTTGATGTATTTTAAAGTTTAATATATCTTGTTCTAGTGGGCCGGTTTTGATAATTTTTTAAGCAATATGTTACTAAGTTAATTAACTTTTGTAGTACCTTTTTCTAAATTAAAAATGAAAGTTCCTATCTGTCAATTACACAAGGGAAAACAAAATGTTGATATTTTTATGAAAGTTTGAAACACCCTGTGGAATATGTTAAGACAGAATTTAAAAATTATTTTATCATCTAGGTACATCCTTTATCGATACTGTGTTTTTTGGTTCATCTCAATAGCTTTATTTTTGTTGGAAATATTCGCTTTTGAAGAAGACACAACATTTTTCGTAATTTTTACATTAAAGCCATTGCTTTTGGTCGTAGTCAACAGAAACGTTCTTTAGGTGCATTCATTATAAATTTGAAAAGCCAACAAACGGCGGTTTTTTAGCGATAAACTTAATAATTGATCGTCTCGATTCGAAGTTCTCGTACGAAGTTTTCTGGACATCTCTAGCATATGAACTTATCTCGAGGAAACGATTGTACTGTACTTCGTGCACACCTAGATCTGTTAGCGACATAAATTTGATTTATTAATCTTCAATAATTAAAGTATAGTTGCTTCACATCGCGGATACAACTTCTAGACTTAAAAGCATCTTAAAGCCCAATAGCCAACAGACAATAATAATATAATTTTTCAATAACAATGACATAACATAAACCATAATCATAGGTCTGCTGACTGAGATCAAAAGCAAAGGCATGGTTTCAATGACAAAATTGAGAAAAAAATGTTAGTTGTCTTCTTGAAAAGCGAATATCTCCAAAAAAATAAAGCTATTGAGATGAACTTAAAACTAAACTATCAAGAAACGATGCACCTAGATGATAAAATGATTTCTAAATTCTTTGCTTTTTTAATATATTCCATAGGGTTTTCCAAACTTTTACCAAAATTACAACATTTTGTGTTGCCTCGTATAATTGACAGATGGGAGCCTTCATTTTTAATTTAGGAAGATATACTAAAAAGTCAAATATTTAGCTACAAATTCCTCAAAAGATCATCAAAATCGGTCCACTAACACACAATATATAAAAGTTAACATACACCAAAATGCCGGTGACTGTATATCAAAGTGTGGATCAATGTAATTTTTGTTTCGTTTAGGCAACATTTTAATGATTTTATTTGATATGCCGATTTTTGATTCCGCCGATAACAAAGTAAATAATGATCTGAGAGTAATAATGAAAACTGTAAAGGATACTTTGCTTGGTTCATTATTTTATCATATTATATCACACCTAAATATGTTAGCACAATTTTGATCTCTATCATCTTCAATTATATACATTTTTTATCATATTATAGTTTTACAAGTACTTTTTGGTTTTACATATTCAAATTTTCCATAGTTTCTATTCTATGTCAGCACCAATATTATATTCATCAATTGAAAATATAGTCTAAAAAAAAGTGTTTATTGACCTGAGAACTTAAAATTGTGTAAAAATTTACTACTTATTATTCTAAAATAGAGAATAAAAATTATAAAAAAATATTAATATCATTACAAGTTTAGATCTTTTCCAAATTACTGATTGTAGCCAAAGTGATTTGTCACTATTCTAAATTCAATATGACCTGTAGATTTAAAATTAAACAGAAGGCAGTGTCGGTGCACTATTATAAAGGTATCAAAAATTCTTTTTTTTAAGCCAGAACGCATTACGTTTTTATGCAAATATGCTTATATTACATTAAGTTTTTGTTGCAAATTAAAGACTTTCACCCTACACATAGTTCAGTTTGTAAATTTTTCGACTTTAATTATTTCTTCATCATTTAATAAACTCACCGGCAAAAAAAGCCGGCCACTAAAAACTAGTCCCAATTTCAAAGTTGGATTTCTCGCGAACCACTCATTAGATTTTGATGATTTTTTTTAAATTGTAAATTAATTCCTTCCGTTAAGAACGTCAGAAATGTTTATTCCGAATTTATTTTGAGTATATACAGGGCACAACAATAAGGCAAAGTTTTTTGCCCGAACTTTGTAACACCCTGTAGGGTGCAGCAGCTGTAGTAGCTATTGCCAGATCGAATCACATTGTAGCTTCATCATTTGTGAGCATTTTGTTTTTTTAATCACGACATTATCTCTGTTTTTATTGGAAATACGCTGCTTTAAAACGAACGTATCGAAACGTAAAACGAACAACGGTTGTCAAATTAAAAATGCCATTATCTGTGACGGATGATGGTCATATTGTGGCTTTAATTGAGGATGGCCGAAGTCAACGTTATGTGTCCGATACATTGGGTATACCTCAACAACAGTCCAGGATGCCTGGAATCGGTATATGGAAACGGGAAATTTCACCAGGCGAGTGGATTCCGGAAGAAACCGGAAGACAAATGTAATGACCGCTTTATTGTCCTGAATACTTTACGAAATCGTAGAATTACAGCGTTTCAGAATCAATATCTGCTACAAGCCGTACGTAGACTCAAGTCAGTGAGAGAACAATCCGACGACAACTAAAAGAAAACAGCTTGTCTGCAAGGAGGCCTGCCACAGGACCCCAGCTACTTCCAAGACATCGTCGAGCACGTCTTCAGTTTGCGCGTTTACATGTGAATTGGGATATTGAGCAATGGACTAAAGTCCATTTCACGGATGAATCGCGGTTTTGACGGGGAAGCATTTTTCCGAAACGTTCGGTTTAAAGCCGAGTTTAAAGCAGCTTATCTCTAATACAAACCGAGATAATGTCGTGATTAAAAAAAACAAAATACTCACAAAAGATGAAGCTACAATGTGATTTGATTTAGCAATAGCTACTACAGCTGCTGCACCCTACAGGGTGTTGCAAAGTTCGAGCAAAAAACTTCGTCTTATTGTTGTGCCCTGTATATGCTCAAAATGAATTCGGAATAAAAATTTCTGACGTAGCATCCGTTAAGAAGGAATTAATTTACAATTAAAAAAAGATGATCAAAATCTAATGAGTTGTTCGCGAGAAATCTAACTTTAAAATTGGGACTAGTTTTTAGTGGCCGGTTTTTTTTTGCCGGTGAGTGTATTTATACAGGGTCCGGCAATAGTGCGTCGGGCATCTGTAGCTCCTAGAATAAAAAACTTGGAAATTTTGTTTAACTGCAGACCTAAATTATGTACTAGGATGTATTTCAGGAAAATATTTTAACTTTTATAGGGTGGCTCAAAAAAGTATGAGTGGATCGAGATGGTTTTTTTTTAAATGGAACACCCTGTATATTATTGCATTTTTGGCTTTCTTTCAGATTACTTTACATAATCCTAAGACATGAGTAAATATATTTCGATAATTTCAGAGATATTAATAAATAAATAAAAATTGTATATTTTTCAGACTGTCTTAAAAAAATTATTAATAATACGAGAACTGTTCTGAAATCAAAACTATATCATATATTTACTTTAGATGGTCTGTTCTTACTTTGTTATAAATATGAAAATTGTAAATCATACAGGATGTTCAAAATTCTACCCCAAACTATCTAAAATATAAAATTATTTTTCTTCGTTTTTTTTAAATGGAACATCCTGTATATTATTTTTTCAATAGATGGAGAATTAAAAAATGAACATTTTTCATATTTAGAGTATTTCAAAAATTTTAACGGTTTCGCAAATATTTCCGGTTTTGTATTTCATATGGCATTTTCCACAGTAAATTTTCATCAAAGCCACCTAATGATTTTTCTCTCGTACCGTATGATCGAAAAAAAACGGCGTCCAGTTGGCTTGGAAATGACGATCGATGACATTACCCATATAATTTTGCATATAAAATGACAGCGATCTTCATTTCATAGCCATCGTTGACGCCGTTTTTATTCGATCATACGGTATTTTACCATTGGAAGCACCATATGAAATAATATTGCGTGGTATCCGGAAAACTATTAAAAATTTTGAAATACTTTAAATACAAAAAATGTTCATTTTTTAATTCTCCATCTACTAAAAAAATAATATACAGGGTGTTCCATTTAAAAAAACGAAGAAAAATTATTTTATATTTTTGAAAGTTTGGCGTAAAATATTGAACATCCTGTATGATTTACGATTACCATATTTATAGCAAAGTAAGAACAGACCATCTAAAGTAAATATCTAATATAGTTTTGATTTCAGAACAATTCTTCTTATTTTAATATTTTTTTAAGAAGGGTTGAAAAATATAAATTTTTGATTTATTTTTTAATATCTCTGAAACTATCGAAATAGATTTACTGATATCTTAGAATTATGTAAAGTGATCTGAAAGGAAGCCACAAATGCGATAATATACAGGGTGTTCCCTTTAAAAAAAATTATCCAGATTCACTCACACTTTTTTGAGCCACCCTATAGAAGTTACAATATTTTCCGGAAATACATCCTTGTAAATACCTTAGGTTTGCACTTAAACAAAATTTTCATTTTGTTTATTCTACGAGCTACAGATGCCCGACGCACTATTGCCGGACCCTGTATATTAATCTTTAACTCTATAGGAACTATTCTAACTTCTATTAAAAAATGTAAATAGTTGAATTATTTTTCATGTATAGTTGTGAATTTTATGCCATTTTTGTAGGTACCAGATGTTCTGGTGTTTTTTGGATTATGGGTGATAATGTTCAAATAAGTCACTTAACGGTGGAAAATACCTCCAAAAATGGCCAGGCAGTTGCCGTCCAAACCAATGGTGATAAAGTTCAGTTTGACCATGTTAACATTAAAGGATTTCAGGTTTTGCTTTAGTTTTATATAGTCACTAAATATATTTACAGGTTTAATATCGTAAATCGTACATTAGGCTATGCTTTTATACATTGAATTTCTTGAATGTTTTTTATTGAAAAAATAACATAACTTTTTTAGAATAGCGATTAATAAATTTCACATAACAAATACCTAAAAACACTTATACAGTGTGTTTCAAATTTTTGGGATCTGTGACTTACCATTGGGATCTCGGAGAAGGAGATTCCCCCACTATGTCAGTATATTTGAAGTGAAACTTCTTCTTACTTCAGTCTATACGTATGCCCGCCTGTCCATTTGTCCGTCTATCCGTCTGAGGGCTCCATTCGGGTACCCTATCCACGTGCCGAGTTTGATTCCAGTCGACCCATTATTAAGAAAAATGCTGATTATTCCCATTAGTCCATTTAGAGGCATCGCATCGGTTCGAAACGTCGAAGGCGTCATTTTGTAGCCCGTCTCCAATTATACCGAAATCGACCTACATCTTTCTTCAATATCAAATCTTTAATCCCACCCTGATGAAGATGGAACCAAACGAAACGCCGTATCCAACTTTGCAGAGTGGGACCGTTAGTCCAGTCATCTTAGGGGTTTCACCTCAGAATTCGAGATAACCGGCTGTAAACTCGTATAAACCTTTATTTTAACATCCTAAAACATCTGAATCTGAAAACCTACATATGATAGCGTGTGCGCGACTTGTAGATAACTGAGGTCAAAGGTAAAAAAAATCAATTTTTTGCGTATTTTTTGCAAATATCTCGTTCCCTTTCACATTTACGCTATTTGTATTTATCATAAGTATTGTAGAGGATTATTCTCTACAGCTTTTGTTTCAAAAATTTTTTTGTACCTCAAACCGTTTTTGAGATAGAGGGCGGTGAGCGCGCAGTCTTTCATTATGTACGGTATCATTCAAGTTCAACCTGTAGTCTCGGTCAAAAACACGCCGTAAACTCAAAAGATCAATTTTTGGAAGCCCCATCTCCATCATTATCATTGCCTGGAAACTTTTATGGTGAAATTTTGATAAAATAATTTAGTACACACTAAAAGCACGGTATGTCGCTAGTGGTAGGAAAAATAATTTTTAGAGGTTACTAGTTTATTTGTTTGCCTGTGATATGCATATACAGGGTGTTTCCTAATTAATCTAAAAAATATAAAATCGTTAGAAAAAGAATTAAGGCGGGCTCTTAATAAGTATATTTTTTTTTCCCCGACAACCGTTTGAAGAACAAGAAAAACTCAAAAGATCAATTTTGTTGAAAAAGGATGGCCAGTCAAGAAAAACATATATTTTCTTTAAAAAGGCAGTGGTGTTCCATTTATGTTAAGCAAAAAAATCGATTTTTTTTTAATTTTTAACACCCTGTAGATCAGAAAGGAAGTACTTTAGACCCAATGGTTATATAAAAATTGTTTTAAGAACACATGAGGAATCACACCATATTTTTTTTAGACTAAATCGAAAACACCCTGTATATTGTCAACTTGACAATGACTGCTGATAAATCAAAAAATACCTTTTCAGTGAAAAAAGCCTGATTTTCGCAGGAAAAATTTTGATTTTTATTGAATTTGGGCCTGCGTTTGCAAATACTGGTTTGTTTTTTAATTTTCTATCTATCTAAATTTTAAATATTATAGTCAGAAATAGTTTTATTATTTATTAACTGTAAAAGTGGTGTTTTCTTGTTGTGTTGCATCTTGCAAAGAAACTAACAAAACTGCAAAAATGTACGTGATTCCAAAAGACAATAAGGTATGTATCTTAGATAAAAGAAAAATATATGGTATGTATTCGTTGTTTGATTTTTTTTTTCGTTCGCTTTAAAATCTATAAATCTCGGTCTATTCATTAGACAGCCAGTCGACTTACGATCATTTACATGAAACTCTGTAAAATAAATAAAAAAATAAATTGTAAAATATATATATTCTTATGTTTTATTAAAGTTACTCTGATATACTAATATATCAGTGTAAATAAATCCTTTGAATTCAAATATAAACATAAAACACATTTACAGCAGAAAAGGCGAATGCGCTGTGTTACACGTAGTCACCACTAAAAACACGGAGGGGCGCTTTGACCCAAAATTTTACTATTAAGTTTCATATCTATCTTAATAGTAGATTATTTTCTTTTATCTATGCGTATTATCTACAAGTCGCGCACACGCTATCATATGTAGGTTTTGAGACATGTTTTAGGATGCTAAAATAAAGGTTTATACGAGTTTACAGCCGGTTATCTTGAATTCCAAGATTCCTACCCTATTTCGACTACTGGACTACGTGTGCACCGTCGCGCGTTGCTTGCATAGCCTACCCACTAAATTTAGTCGTGATCGAACGACATGACGTTCCTTAGGTCAAAACTAACTGTCACAGTGGCTTATTTTATTCTTTGATGATGGGGTTTCATAGTGCACGAAACGTCATCAAAATACCATGGAAGCCCCATCTCCATTCCTAGTTTCAGTCCCCCAGCTCACATAGGGCCCGAGTTACGACGCTCCAAAGACCCATTTCAATTCTTTTTTTCTAAGCCGTAGGCTGTCCTTACTACTTTTTCTCTCGTGTGTCGTGTCTTTTCGTGTCACGGCCTTGAATATTTGCTCCCAGCGCGCCTAAAGAAGTTTAACTTCAAACTGTGGTGGTCTAAATTGGTGTAGAGTTTCCAGTTAGTTAACTTATCATTGTTATTTCTGGAAATGTAGCGGAAAAATGAACGGAACGGTGCAATTTCCGGTTTGCGCCCAAGTTTATTTTGACAGTCAGAAAAATCTAGATACCTACACATTCAAAAAGAGACTTAAAATTAGATTTATCCTTTGCTAACGTCCAAAATCACTTAAGACGTTTCGTGTTTATTTAACTATCAAATTGTTTTTTTTTTAATAGAGACCTAGCTTTTCTACCCAATTTTTTAGAAGTTTATGACCTCCCAAATGCAATGACGTATCGTACTTACCCCCAAAAAATGCTTATCTATATCTATACTAATATATAAAATCCTTAAGTGACTGACATACTGATTAATCACGATCCTGCTCAAACCACTCAACGTAAGAAGCTCAATTTTGGCATACAGGTTGATTCTATGGTGTAGAGGTTCGATAAGAAGGGATTCTTCGAAATTCCAGTTCTAAGAGGGTGAAACCACCCCTCAAATATTACAATATTTTTTATTTAAAAAACGGTCAAGTTTCCGAAAAAACGCTTAAACACGTATATTTTATTTTGTTTTTTTACATATTTTAAGATTTTTTAAAAATGTATACAGTGTGTTTCGAAAAATCTGGTCATTGATTAATCACGATCCTGCTTAAAGCGCTCGACGTAAAAAGCTGATTTTTGGAAAACAGATTGACTTTAGGGTGTAGAGGTTCGATAAGAAGGGATTTTTCGAAACTCGAATTCTAAGGGGGTAAAACTATCCCTCAAATTTTAAAATATTTTTTATTGAAAAACCGGTGAGTTTTTCGGAAAAACTCTTAAACACGTATATTTTATTTTGTTGTTTTACATATTTTAAGATTTTTTATAAATTTATACAGGGTGTTTCATAAAATATGACCATTGGGTAATCACGATTCTGCTTAAACTGCTTGACGTTTAAAGCTGATTTTTAGCAAACGGATTCACTGTGGGGTGTAGAGGTTCAAGAAGGAGGGGTTTCTCGAATCTCAAATTCCAAGAGGGTGAAAACGCCCCTCAAATTTTACAATATTTGTTATTTAAAAAACGGTTAGTCTTTCGGGAAAACGCTTGGACAAGCATAATTTATTTGGTTTTTTACATATTTTGAAATTTTTTAAAAAATCATACAGGGTGTTCCAAAAAGTTGGGTAATTTCTTAACCACGATTCTGCTTAAACTGCTTGACGTAAAAAGCTTATTTTTGGCAAACGGATTTTTCGAAAGTCAAATTCCAAAGAGATGAAACTACCCCTCAAATATTACCAAGTTATATAATAACATCGCCATATTGTTTTTTCTCATGCTGACATAAATGTGAGAAAATTTGATCCAGTTTGTATGTTAATGGAAATTCTTGCTTTGCTTTATTATCACCATTACAAATGATTAATTCGACGTAAACGAAGTCGCCGGTACACGCTAGTTTTTTATATGCATATAACGAAAGTGACCCTTGTACCCATCTCGCTCCAACATATTGCTTCTTATGAGCAATTCATTATGCATTTATTGGTCAAGTACTCTACATCATTGAAATTCAATAATTATTACTAAACGGGTAGCCAATGGACAAACTAACAAGCAACGTTGTCCCAATTTAAACCACTCTGTATCTCTTAGCCTTTTCTAGATCCCAATGGTAAATTCGAATTTGAAACACCTTATACCGAGTGCGTCTCAAAAGTGGCTCACCCCTATAACTTTTTTTATTTTTTTTATATAAAAACGGGATTTGGTATGTTAGTATGACATAAATTAAGATTGATTGACGCATTCACTTGTTTTTGGTCACTTCCTGTTTCATCGGAAATTACTACAACTTTTGATTTTCAAATGACACCCTCAGCATTTTTTTTACTTTATTACATAGAAAATGACATAAAAAATGGCACCCTGAATAGAATGACATATCAAATGTCAACTTTTGACATTTTCGCATATGGTTTATTTGAAATTGTAACATGCGGTTCATAACGACAATTTGACTGGAAATACCAAGTGTGTGTGGTACCAAATTATTCACAAAAATATTCTTTTTCCAAATATGCTAATGAGCCACTCTTATTCCATTTGAAAAAAATGAGATATGATTAAAAATATGATTTCGGCATCTTTTAACGGACAAGGACAAGACACTAAAAGCATTAGACGATCAAATCTTTTTTTCCAAGACTCCTTGATTAAAAATTAGTGTTTTTAACACAACCATAGCACTCTAGATTGAAATTTAAAATACGATTTTCTTTAAAGTGAAAATGTCAAAAATTGACATATGATATATCATTCAATTCAGAGTGTAACTTTCTATCGAATAAAGTAAAAAAATACCGAGGGTATCATTTAAAAATAAAAAGTTGTGGTCATTTCTCGTGAAACAGAAAATGACCAAAAACATGTAAGTAAGTCAATCAATCCTAATTTATGTCATATCTCTCTTCAGTCCTTCATCCTACGTCAGAGTATGGTGACATCATGTGTTGATTCCCCTCACTTCCTCGGACCAAGTTGTTCGACACTGCGCCCTATGTGAACTTCGGGTGGCCCACTAGGGTTTTGACTTGGTCTACCCACCTCTTAGGTGACCTTCCACGTGATCGTTTTCCCTCTACCTTTATTATGTAATATACTAACATACCAAATCTCGTTTTTTTATTTGAAAAAATATAAAAATTAAAGAGGCGAGCTACTTTTGAGACGCACCCGGTATAGTCTATTACTACTTGCATTTTTTTAGGATTCGTTTTATTTAAATGGAAATGGAAGAGTTTTTATTAACAAAAGCTTTATTACTGGAGACGTGGATTTCGTATTTGGTAGTGCTACGGCAATTTTTCTAAATACTACTTTTATTGCAAGAGATGATCGACCAAGGAATACCGCTATCATATTTGCACCCAGCACACCACCTACCAAAAAATACGGCTTTCTAGTAAAAGAGTGCACCATTTCGACATCTGGCAATATTTCTGAATCAACAGGTTTACATTTAGCAAGAGCTTGGGATGGTTCAGGTATTTATTTACTTTTTTATTATTTGGTATTTAATTCTGGCTTTAATTTTACGATTATTTTGTTACTACTAAAATTAAAAGACATTTAAAAATCATAGTGAATTGCTTGAATATATGTATAAATAATATTCATAAGACTATACAGTCCCAATATTCCGTGGAAAGAACTACTGCGTATTTCAAATCCAACCCAACCTCTATAAAAAGTGCTTTGTTTGTCCGTTAGAGAACATCAGAAATTAAGAAAAAGAACGGGAAGGGTAAAAATATATAAATATATACATATATAAATTTTAGTAAAAATATTTTCCACTCCACCGACGACCGATTTTTTTTGTAAAATAATTTTTATAGTGTTTACCACATTTTTTGTCTCTTATAAAAAAAATTGTGTCTTTTTGAGAAAAAAATATTTTACCGAATATAGGTATCACTTTCACAAATATTTCATGTCTAGTATGAGGTAATACTCTAGTTGGAAAAAATATGCAATTTTATGTTAGTAGGTATCACAAATAATATTTGACAATAAGCTTCATAAATTTTAAATTAATTATCGTTCGGGTTTATTTTTGGTTGATGCCCTCTAATAAACGAAGGAAACACTTTTGTATAGAAATAAATTGTGGCCAATTAACTTATTTTTACTAAAAAATACGTAGCTGTTCTATGTCCACGGAATATAGGAACACCTTGTATACTTTGTAGGTCTGCTATGCAGAAAAAAAATTCTGCAATTTTTTTTCTCAAAAAATATGCGGTGTAGCGTTTTTCTACAAGAGACAAAAAATGTAGTAAATTCTAGGAGGGTCATTTTACGAAAAAAAATCAGTGATCGGTGGATCTGGAAAATATTTGTACTAAAATTTATATACTCGTAGATATGAGGGTAGTTTTCACCCTTCTCGTACTTTTTCTTGATTTTGTAAAAGTAAAATATTAAAGCACTTTAGCAAAATAGGCACCCCAAATTTCATTCAAATCGGAATATCGGTTCTTGAGATATCTTAAAAAAATTGTTTATTTTTTTGAAGTTTGATGCCCTCTAACGGACAAACGAAGCAATTTTGTATAGGAGTAAATTGTGTCCAATGAACTTATTTTGATTCCAAAAATACGCAGTAGTACTATGTCTACCGAATATTATCACCGATGTAACTACTGGTACTGCTGTGCACCCCACTGAGAAATCTTGAATTATAACTCTTGGCTACGTGTTAATTTTTATTTCCTTGGGCTCAACCCCAGCCCCTCCCAGGATGAATTGCTATAGTTACGCTAATAAATGTTATATATGTATAGACTAGAGTTAACTGTATTTACAATTTTTATAAACTTCATTATGGTACTGGAGGTTATTAAATCTGGATATTTTGTAGGATCAATTATCTTCTTCAATCATCGTCCAACTCCAGAATTTACCTGCTAGACCCCCTTAACTGTCTTCATCTTTTCCTAACCACTGAAGGCATCATGTCATTGCATTGGTCGTCCTGGTATATCGTCGTCCTCTATTGCTAAAGGTTTCATTTGTAAAAGGTGTCAAAGGTATATTTTTGTTTTCCAGCCAACAGTCTTCCTCGTCCTAACGTAATCTAACCTTCCGGCATTTTTACCTAATCTCATCAACTAATTAGAAAAAATATATGTATAACGATTTTAAATGATTTAGTTTACAAAAAACAGCGATTTGTTAAAAATGCACATTTTTAAAAAAACACCCTGTAACTCCGAAACCGTAACAGATATCGATTTGCGGTTTTTACCATGTTGTTTTTGATAAAAATTTAGTTACAGACACCGATATTAGTTTTCATCTATCTCCTTTACAAAAGAGTATTACCCTTCGAAAGTGTCCAATTTGACCTACCCTGTACACTTTTTACTTTTTCTAAAAAAATACTGTATGGTGGAAAAAAGGCTTCAAGTTGACATATAATAAACGACAATCGCTGACATTTCACATATAGGCTTTTCATATAAATTGAGAAGGATGTTCATTTCTGAGCCAACTTTGAGACCGTTTTTCTTTTGACCATATGATATATTTTACAAAATAATTTTTAAAATATATTTTTGAAAATTGGCAAGAGACGCAAAATTTATTGCAAAATCAACTTTTCAATTTGACATATTTTGATATCTCGTCATCTAATCCCACATTTTTCATAGAATGTAAAAAAACAAAAATTGGAATTTGCCGCCAAGTAATATGGCTACAACTTTTTTTCTCAATATTGAGGGGCCGTCCTATGATACATCCTACACATACGTCACATTCACATTCATCACACACGTCCTAGGAAACACTGCAACCTTTAAGGCCTATTGTGTTTATCCCCATTTTATGTCTACACCCAGTCTCATAACTCAGTGCCCTGTAACAGATTGCGCATGTCTTTTATAGAATGGGAGCATTTTTCCTGTATACACGAAGAGTTCGGCCGCGAGGGCCTATTGTGTACTACAAACTCTTTATTCAGAAAAAGATTGGTAAAGTTCACCCTCAACACCCAACCTTTTATGATAGACTATTATGTCCCAGGGGAATATGTCTCCTAGGTCTAGGCATAGTCTAGCATGGTTTTACCAAGCAACCAAATCTCAAGCCTGATTCTGCCCCCAGGGCGTCTTCCACTAGTCCCATCTTCTGTAGGTGTGCCCTCAGGCAATGGCCCTATAGCTGCCGCGGTTAATCCCAAAAAAGAGCAGAATTCGGCAAATTAGTCTAAAAGCACCAAATTTTGCAGGGCCATTTTTAAGGGCATTCTAAGGGATTTGACCCGGAGGGCAAGGCAAATTTTTGATTATAAGTCAAAATGGCGGCTATTTTTCAAAATGGCTGTTTTTAATCTAGTAAATCTGTTTTAAACAATCTATAGGTCGTTTTTGACTAATCTGGAGCTGAAAAAAACCATAAAAATATAATTTTTTTCATACTGATGCAAGTTTAGTGAATATACAGGAGTATATTCACTTATATATTCATTAGTCTATATACAGGATAGTCAAAAATGACTTACAAGCAGATAAAGTCGAAACAGAAAATATTTCAACTTTTATATTTTTTGTCATACAGGTATTTTTTAAAATCGCTTTATATTAACTGATATGATTAACTGGCTCTCTCTCTCTCTCTCTCTTATCTTTTCTCTCTCTCTCTCTCTCTACTCGGCTTGCCTGTCAAAATGCAATATAGCTGTCATGGTTAATCCAGTCATTCGGCAAATTGGTCCAAAAGCATGAAATTTGGTACACACGTATTTTATGTGATTCTGAGATTTTTGACCCATTTCTTGTGTTTGACTCAAAATGGCGCCTTATTTTCAAAATGGCCGAATAACAATTTGTAATTGTTAGTTATTAACAGATTTTAACATAATATATGTTAATTTCGACAAATTTTCTGGCGTGCAATTCATTAAAACAACTCTTTTTTGAGTACAATGTTAATTTATATGGTAAATTTGTATACAGGGTGGTTAAAAGCGTATACGTCCTAATATAGAAATTTCGATTCCCATGAGCTTATTCCAGTAAATCTTCTTCATATGCACTAAAAAGAATAAATTAGTTAATAAATCATTAGAATATTTATGTTAAACTATTTACCACTTATTTATACATGTATCCTTACAGATACACTGTAATGTGCAAGTCAGTCCTGCGCGCCGGCATGACCAACGTTGCGAATCACAGCCTGATTTACATCCGCACCTTTTTTCCCTGCAAGCTGGCCATATAGATGAAAGTGTTGACCAAAGTGGCTCCCAGGCTTTATTGTGCTGCACCCAACCCCAAAAAGTTGGGGTCGGTGTGTCACACTCTAACATATCCAATGATCCATGACCCAATGACACCTTTCTTTTCCTAGTTGGATAGCGATTTTGTAAGCTTCAATTAAATTTAAAAAAATTCTGCAAATGCCAATGTAACGTCGATTCTTTTCCGACCCAAATAAAATCCATAGTTCTTCTAAACCCATAGCCCGGAGCTCATAAAAAAAGACACACACAAAACAACATCAGTGTCAACAGTTTGAACCAAAATATTTTTGGCTCCAAGTCTGACCATGTCTGAAACGTGCAACAAAATGCGTCCATCTGCCTCTTCCCATTTTAAACAAGAATTTCCGGCTAATGCAATTCTTTGTGGCTAAAATGTCACCAACATTCATGACAATTTCCATCATAGAGCAGACTACCATAAACTCGTAATACTTTTATTACAGGTTCTTTTATTGTTTTAGGTACTTTGCTGAAAAAATTGAGCGATTTTTTTGGGTATTTCTGACAATAAAAGTGAACTATTGCTGCGTTGCTGGCGAAAAATCTTGTAAAATCATGGGATAATTTGGAAATTGTCACGAATGTTGGTGACATTTTAGCCACAAAGAATTGCGAGTCTGCATTAGACGGAAAATCGTGTTTAAAATGGGAAGAGGCAGATGGATGCATTTTGTTGCATGTTTCGGACATGGTCAGACTTGGAGCCAAAAATATTTTGGTTCAAACTGTTGACACTGATGTTGTTGTTTTGGGCGTGTCTTTTTTTTATGAGCTCCAGGCTATGGGTTTAGAAGAATTATGGATTTTATTTGGGTCGGGAAAGAATCGACGTTACATTGCAGCTTACAAAATCGCCATCCAACTAAGATGAGACAGGCGTATAGGCATCCGAGGCTTTCATGCCTTCGCCGGTTGTGACAGTGTCTCCTTCTTTGCCGGAAAAGGAAAAAAAGATGGAAAACATGGATGTCATGTGAGTCAGCAACAGATGCATTTACTTTTATATCTTTTCCGAATGACCACATTCCAAGTCACATTCAAGCACTTCTTGAAGACTTTACATCAAAGATGTATGCTGCAACTACAGGAATGTCCAAAGTTGATCAGCTTCGAAAGCACCTGTTCTGCACTGAAAATAAGCCGCTACACTTAATTCCTCCTAGCTCCGCAGCACTGTTACAACACTGTCTTCCTGCTGCATATCAAGCTGGCCAAATTTGGGGCAGATCATTGGATATGTTACAGTGTGACCCACCGACCCCAACTTCTTGGGGTTGGGGGCAGCACAATAAAGCCTGGGAGCCACTTTGGTCAACACTTTTATCTATATGGACAGCTTGCCGGGAGTTAGAAAGGTGCGGATGTAAATCAGGCTGTGATTCGCAACGTTGCTCATGCCGGCGCGCAGGACTGACTTGCACATTACAGTTCAAGTGTAAGGATACATGTATAAATAAGTGTAATTTATTCTTTTTAGTGCATTTGAAGAAGATTTACTGGAATGTGAAATTTTCATATTGGACGTATACGTATACGCTTTTAACAACACTGTATACAAATTTATCATATAAATTAACATTGGACTCAAAAAAGAGTTGTTTTAATGAATTGCTCGCCAGAAAAATTGTCGAAATCGACATATATTATATTATGCTAAAATCTGTTAATAACTAACAATTACAAATTGTTAATCGGCCATTTTGAAAATAAGGCGCCATTTTGAGTCAAACTCAAAAAATGGCCTTGCCCTCCGGGTCAAAAATTTTAGAATCACCTAAAATACCTGTGTACCAAATTTCATGCTTTTAGACCAATTTGCCGAATGATGGATTAACCGCGGCAGCTACTACTAAACTGCAGTGAGCGTTCGCGCTCCATTCCTGTCGGTGTTTAAAGGTTCTATGGTTCTGCGTTTGGATGGCCCTGTTAGGATTCTCTTGGCATGTGCCATTCCTGGGCTGTCATTCCAGTTCCGAAACGTCACATCGCCATTCACAGAGCCTTCTCTTGCGAAATTTTTTGGAACGCTAAGTGTTGGTTCTGGGCCCACGAATGGCGAACCTGCGCCTGTTTTGGGAGGGAATCAGCACGTTCGTTTCCCTCCAGGCCGATATCTTCCGGTATCTATATTAGCGATACTTTGTTTCTATCTCATAATACAAATTGAGTAGTTTCCTACTATGAGGAATCGCCATAGACGTGCTGTTCGTTGCCTCAAGTGCTTTCAACGCGGCTTGACTATCAGAAAATATGCTTATTGCTTTCCCGGTGTATATTGCTGTTCTACTAGCAGATGCACACAGGTTTCAAAAGCATATAGCTTAGTTTGGAAAATCGTGGAATATCTTCTGCTGCAGTAAATTTCTGCGCCAGATCCTTTTTCGTTTTTGGATCCCTCCGTGTACCAATACATTTCCTCATGTAATGAATTGTTTCTCAGCTTATCCCATTCGTCCCTATTCGGAAACAGGACAGAGGACACAGGAGATCTGAGACTATTCCCAGAATCTCATCCGACTGTCTAGTAATAGAACAATAATTATTATTACTTTTTCGCAGTTCCCCGCAGAGGACGGCCCCTTGTTATTGAAAAAAAAATATTAGCGTCTTTTTTAGCTGGAGCATTAGACATAAATGTATATCTATTTTTATTATATTATTATTTTAGATTATATACCAGGAACGTCAGCTAACGGTCAATTAATTATACGAGAATCAATAATCTCGAAAAGCCTTAATGTTTCTGGTCCTTACAGTCCAGCTACTAGTGGAAGGCCATTCATGGGAAACATTCAAGAAAATCGAGATTTAGATGATGTTAATTACAATCGTTTTTGGGAATATGATAATGTAGATCTGGAATAAATATCTCATACAGAATGTATATGTCTAATTTAGAAATTTTACATATATCTTTAACTTAAATAAAATGAACTTAAGTACGTATAATATTTTTTTACTGGAAAAAAAAACTTTACTAAATATTTTCATTAGGTTTGTGCAAACTGCATCCTTCTATCTTCACTAATAACGGATATACCGTTTGATTTCAACCAAAATGTGACATCCTATACATTGAACGTCAAAATATTATTTCCATAACTAAATATTTTTTCAAACTTGCACTATGTATTGTATATTATTTAGTTAATTCATCTATTTATGTATTACAATCATTATAACAGCCATAATAATAATCGCATAATATTTATCGCATACAGGGTGTCATTGAAATGTTGTAAAAAATCTATCGGGGGGTGATAGTGCTCCTAAAAATAGTAAAAAAGTTCCTATAAGTATAGGGCGGAAAATGCATATTAAGGGAGTTAGGGGCACTGAAAGGGCGAATTTAAAAAACGGTTGTTTTAAAATTGTAGGCTTAAAAAACGAGATAAGACTTCGAAAAAAAAATCTTCTGCCATAAATTTTGACCCTAAATCAAATGGTGATACTGAAAAATTATTTGGAAAAGCGGAAAGGGTAGTTTCTGCAAGGGTAGGAGGTTATTTCGTGAATAATTTTTTTGAGGTTATTTTTTTTGCAACGTGGGTTCATTTTTTGAAAACTACATACTTTTTCCTACAAAAAAGGTACTCTTGTTGCACATCGCTCAGAGCGATGGTTTTCGAGAAAATTGAACTTATGCTTTAAAAACGAAATAAACTTTTTTGGTTTTAAAAAAAATTGGTTTGCTCAGTGCCGATTAATACTGAAAAGCAACTACGGCAACGCATTATTGATTGTTCCAACCAAATTCGGACAACACCAAGGATATTCCACATTCCACAGGGTATCTACGCAGATCGTGGAGAAGAAGATCAGATGTCTACATTGAAATGAACGGTGGTCACTTTGAACATTTACTATGAATGAATTAAGGAATGCATTATTTTAATAAGGAATTTTGGTAATTGGATTATTTCATTTTTTAAAGCAATAAGATGTTTTAAAAATCATGAAATTTTGATTTTTCAATTAATTATTTGATAACTACTTCGTTACTTTTGAACCGCCATAACTTTCATAAGTTTATGTTGATTAACCAGTTAGCAACACATCAGAGCGAACTCTTTGTCTTCAATTTTATCGAAAACGATCGCTCTGGGCGATATGCAACAAGAGTATCTTTTTTGTAGAAAAAAGTATGTAGTTTTCAAAAAATGGACCCACGTTGCAAAAAAAATAACCTTAAAAAAGTTATTCACGAAAAAAACCTATCCTTGCAAAAACTACCCTTTCCGCTTTTCCAAATAATTTTTCAGTGTCACCATTTGATTTAGGGTCAAAATTTATGGCAGAGGATTTTTTTCGATATTTTATCTCGTTTTTTAAGCCTACAATTTTAAAACAAGCGTTTTTTAAATTCACCCTTTCAGTGCCCCTAACTCCCTTAATATGCATTTTCCGCCCTATACTTATAGGAACTTTTTTACTATTTTTTATGAGCACTATCACCCCCCTACTATCACTTTTTTTACACCATTTCAATGACACCCTGTATAGGTATATGTTACGGTTAATGTCCGATATTCGGTTAATATCGACATTACCCGGTTAATCTTGAGAATAACACACAACAAAACAACCAAAAGAAAACCAAACCAAACATTAACCTGTTAATGTCGACATTAACCGAACATCGGACTTTAGCCATAACATATACATGTTCTATATTATGTGTAAGTATATACATTGTCTGTTGTATTTTCAATGTTTTTCATACATTTTGGATTACCCGAATATACAGTTATACGAGGCTTCAGCTCGTATTTCCTCAGATAATATATATAATAATAATGATCTTTACTATATTAATCTCTGCTGGTGCAGAAATTAATGTCTTCAAATTGTGACTGGAAACGCATAGTTCCATTTTTCTTTTATCGACTTCAACCAAGGCCTGGAATTGAACTTGGAACAAATGGCATATTTGTGACATTTCGCATGTTTCTTTTATTTCAAATGAATATCTCATATTATCCTCGATATTACCTTAGAGAACTCTAAGTGCGGTTTAGGTATATTGGTAAATATAGTAACGAGATGTAATCTGAATTCAGGCTTAAGCTTCATTCAGAACCTCACAATTAGAGAAATAAATTAGTGGTTTCAGTTAGCGTAGAAGTTTGTTCCTTTAATTTGAATATAAGCATTCAGAACGTCAAAATTAGAGGTAGATATTTTCAATTAATAGAAAAAGTTATCAAACTTTTATCCACTAATTATACTTCAAAATTTGCCTGAAATGTCACTTTGGCCTTTGATTATCTTCCGTCAAGAGAAAGTGTGGTTAGAACTGAAAAGTTGATTATTTTATAAGCTAAATATTAAGCTTCATTCAGAACCTCCCAATTAGTGGAATAAATAAGTGGTTTCAATTACACTTTATACTTTTTACTTTACGACCATTCACAATGTTTAAAAAACAAAATTAAAATTAATAAAATATCCTAGCAACAGCTTGCGCTGGTCTGTTGTATCTATAGAGAAAGCATAATATTTAGCTGCAGGGGCGGGAAAGTGAAATAGCAAAAGCGGTTCCACCGTTTCCACGGAAATCTCAAATAAAATAATTCTAGCCCTAGCCACTAGGTGGTAGTGCAATTAATTTTTAGGTTAAGAAGTTGCTACTAGTTATTGCCAGATGGCGATAAATCAGAATTTTTTTGTAGTTTCCATAGTTTCTAACGGCCATTGTCATATTATTGTCAAATTCTCAAAAAATATTGTCGTTGTCATAGCGCCAATCATACCTAATATTATCAAATAAATGATTATCAAAACGTTTTTCAAACTATAATTTGTTATATGTGTTGTGTATGTGTTTTAATTAGACAATTCCTTTTGTTTGTGATCCTAAAAATATAATGTAAGTCTTTTATTTTTGCCATCATTTAAGTACCTATTTAAATTTACTCAATTTACAAAACTTTGGGCGTATTACGTTGGTCTTGTTTTATTATAATAAATGATGTTTTTAAATATTTGACTTATAAATAAAAACTTTAAATAATAAATAATAGTTCACATGTTTGGCTTTAATTTTATTTAATAATTGTATAAATTATACTGTTAAATCTTATTTTTTACACATAACAACGATATTTGTTATTAGTATTGTTGAATTTGTGTAAAAAATAAGATTTAATAATCAAATTTAATTATTTTAGAGTAAAATTCAATAAATACGCTCATTTAAAAAGCCCGCGCTTCGATCCATTTAAAACAAGCCCTACTCAATAAATGGCGCCCCTTCTGTAGGACCATTTTTCAGTATGGCAGAGTCCATTCTTTTTCTAGCTAGGTATATTCTTTGATTTAGCTTATAAAACAATAAACTTTTGATTTCTAACCAAAATTTTTCTTGACGGGTGATAATCAAAGGCCAAAATGACATTCCTCGCAAATTTTGAAGTATTAATTAGTGGAAAAGTCAAATGTTTGTTAACTTTTTCCACTAATTGAAGATTACTACCACTAATTATAACATTCTGAATGCTTACATTAAAATTAGGTGAACAAACTTGTACGCTAATTGAAACTACTAATTTATTCCACTGATTTCGAGGTTCTAAATGAAGCTTTAGTCTTTCTCTATGGATACAACTGACTGAAGCAAGCTATTAATTATAATTGTGTTTTTTTACCATCGTGAATGATCCTAAACTAAAAAGTATAAAGTGTAATTGAAACCACTAATTTATTGCACTTATTGCGAGGTTCTGAAAGAAGCTTTAGTTGAAGCTAGAAATAATGTTGGAAAAAAAAATATGCAAAAGTATTATATTATTTCTAATAAAAGAAAAATAACGTCGTTATTATTAGTTAAAATGTAACACTTTTATATATGATTAAAAAATACTTAAAAAGGACATGGTAAAAACACATGAGCGAAATATTTTTTCTAATTCATACAGTTATTTTTAGCGTGACTCAATATCCTCATTATTACTAACCTAGACTAACACGTCACTATTTTAAAATATTGTAATTAGTGTCAAAATGTCACTGTCCGCATCTTATAATATAATCAATCAGCTTCTTACTAGCAAAACAATACATTACTCATGATTTGTAATTTTCTTTTTTCGAATGTGATTGATTTTTCATATTTATTCTGTCTACTTATGGATCTTAGAAACAGATATTTGATGCATATTTGAAATTCGAGAGAACTTAAATATTCTAATATAATAGTTAATTTAAGTTGTTTATTATAATAGAGTTGTATTGAGATATCTATCCATTATAGTTATTAATTAATAAATTAAAGTTAATTTTCCACGAAACTTAATTTTATTATAATATTCTATTATAATTAAAAAAGTAGTATACCTATAGTAACTTTTTTAGACCTATTTTCTTGTTAAAGAAGAATTTTAAAACATGGAAGTTTCAATTACAATATTATTTTGTTATGAATTTTAGCTTTAATTTTCCTACTGCAATTTTAATAATTTATCTAAGATTCTCTACTGTATTTGTAATAAGAAAAAAAGACTAGCGGAAACAGCTCTTTGTGAACCTCTCAATACGTGCATTCATTTAAAAATAAGTACCTGCTAGTTTAGGGAATTGGATCACCCTCATCAGACAGCCATAATAATAATAGTTAAAATAATGAGATAGAGAAATAAAGCCTTATACAGAACCTCGAAATTAGTGGAATAAATTAGTGGTTTCAATTATAATTTATACTTTATATATCACAATGTCTAAAAATAACAACTAAAATTAATAGAACATCCTAGCACAGCTTGCGTTAGTGTGTTGTATCCATAGAGAAAGCTTAATAATTATTAGCTAATAAAACAATCACCTTTTCATTTCTGAACGATCATAATCAAGGCCATAATGACATTACTAGACCTAGTCTAGCTCCTAGTAAATTTTGAAATATAATTAATTGGAAAGTTAAAAGTTCGTTAGCTATTCTACTAATTAAAAATTA